GAGGTTTTGATATTGGCCATCACTAATAAAGAAGACCAATAGCTGTTATAGGTCCTCTTGGTGGTCTCAAGTAGTAGAGAGTAAATCCTTTACCTTTTGTAATACTTATTCCAAAGACTACTGGACCTGTCTTATAATGTCACCTCTTTCTTGTATAGTTAGACCCTCAACGGAGAAGGAGACGACGTCACTGTCTGGAGACGACACATGATGACCACGACACCCTCGGGTGAATCACTGTCACATTTGTGGTGTGTGAGCACATGTTTTTGTGAAGACCCTCGTACTGTATGTGACTGTTCGACTGACCTACGGAGAGAGACATCGTGTGAACAACCTGAAACCTCGATACAAGTGTTGTTGGAGGTGAGTCTCTCCTGGTGTAATAGATCATCCGCAATTCGTGCAGAAGACTTGACACAAGATGGTAAATCAGTAATTTCTTCACGACGTTACACTTCTCGTAAGGGGTCCGACGGGTGACTTACTACTTGAAGTCGTTTTTGAAGGAACGAAGAATAAATTAAGGGTGGAACTCTCTACCTCAGTAGTTTAAAGAGTTACTCCTAATTGGAACGCGAAAGTGACTACTTGTAGGATACCCTGCGAGATCTATTGCAGATATTGTACTATAGATGAATTTGTGTCTGTCAACGTCTTAGAGGTGACAGGTCATACTAATCAAAGGATTAGCGAACGTAGAACTTTGATAACTAGGTCTTGTATAAGATGATCTGGTTGACCTTTTGACCCCCCCTGGGAGAACGTACACAGAGAAGAACCCGTCTTAGGATCACTTTCCTGTCTTCTGTGAACAAAGTAATCTGAGTCGGTGGTCCTCTTCAGGTCACCTCGATGACTTCCCTGGTAGGTCCCTGTGAACGACGAGTAAAATCTAGATAGACGAAGTCGTCGGCATCGCAAGTAACCATGTACTTGTTAATTCAAGGTATCGAATACGTCTGCCTGTGGTGTGCACTTACCTGTACGGCCTCCTGCACATTTGACTCTGTCTTCACTTCAATGTACGACTCCTCTGTCTCTAAGTTCTTCCTGTCTACAACGGTACGATAATCTCCTCTCGTTAGTTATACTGTGGTCTCAAGTTGACGTCCTGGTAAGAAAGAGGAGTGCAAGTAAAGTTGTACGACAGTCACTGTCTGCGACTAATAAAATGTAAGCCGGATGACATCAAAGTAAGACTTCCATGCAGTGTCACTGTCCTTTTTTGCAGTTGTAAGATTCAACTGTTTACACTAGATCCCATTGCACGCGAGACCTAATGAGGAGAGAAGTCCCCAGTCGACTCTGTTAGAGTGGACCGTAATGTCCTATTCTCCAGTATAGTCTCCGTCGAGAGAATGAGACAGGATGTCTGTGAGGTTTTTGATATTGTGCACATTACTAGTAAAGATTGACCATAGCTGTCATAGGTTTCCCTTTTTGGTGTCTTAACGTAAGTAGATAAGTAAATCCTTTAGCTCTTGTCTACTCACTCTTCAAGACTAGGGACTCGACTAACATGTTACCTCAAGTTTCGGCTTATCTGAGACAGTAACGACGTATAACCTGTCTGCAGAGACATATGACTGACAACGCACTCCGGGTTCACTGTCCTTTGTGGGTTGTACGACATGTGTTGGAGACGTCGCAGAGGGACCCTGTCAGGTGGGTGAGTCTTGGCGGAAAAAGTTGGTTGTTAACGGTAAGTTTCACCTGTGGGCTGCATGTTAAGAGGAGTTTCACTGGTGTGAGGTTGGAGAACTCCCCGCCTGAGTTCTACTTCTCGTCAGGCAAGGCTGGCTCAGGCAGGTGGCCTGAGGACTTTCACCTACTTGACCAAAAGTTGACCAGGACGTGACTTGTAAGAGTTCTAATTGACGTCACACCTTCATGTCAAATACCACTTCTTGATCGTACATCTAACAAGACGCCGTCACCTCATTAATTGATCCATATAAAATGAGTCAATGCACAGGCCTTCATTTTTTGTAACTCTCATAACATGAATAAAATGATTAATATAACTGAAGGTGAATGTAACACACCGTCTTAGAATGTACGTGTCACTATCTCTCTTAGAGTCGCGTCCGCATAATCTCGATTCGCGACTTTAACTTTGGTAGGAC